TGAGGGGGGAATATTTTTTCCTTAAAGATGTAGATGAGTTTTCTTCAGAGTTGGGTTTATACAAATAAAACAGAATATTGTCATTTTCTAGGACCTATTCCAGATTCTTGAGTGACATGTCCCTGCCGTGTTTCTGCAAGGATCGGTGGATAACTCCCACCCACAGACTCAGCGCATTGTCCATATTCATGCAAGTTACTTATAAAGTAACCTCACTTAATTCTCAAAACAACCTTATTACAAATTACCACATGTCATGGGCTGTTTGGGTCTCTTGTAAATGATATTCTGAAAACTTTAATTATTAAATCTGCTCAGGCTATAGTTAGCCTGATAAAACTGTAACACAGAAGATTCAGTGTTACATAAATGCTGGTGGAAAACAAATGGGAAGCTTTATTTAAATAGTATGGAAATATAAATTTTGGAGGATAAATATCTAGATGTTAGCTATAAAATTTTTTTTAAAAATATATTTTATTGATTTTTTTTTACAGAGAGGAAGGGAGAGAGATAGATAGCTAGAAACATCGATGGGAGAGAAACATCGATCAGCTGCCTCCCGCACATCTCCCACTGGGGATGCGCCCGCAACCCAGGTACATGCCCCCGACCGGAATTGAACCTGGGACCTTTCAGTCCGCAGGCCGAAGCTCTATCCACTGAGCCAAACCGGTTTCGGCAGCTATAAAATTTTTGTAGCTGCATAAAATAACAGAAATATTTTAAATATTATTACACACTTTACACAAATGCTTTTTAGTCAATTATCATACTTGGTTTTCAAAAACTCTATAAAGTAGATCCATGTCATAATGAGAAAAAGAAGGGAAAAGATATGGGCAGCCTTTTAAAGAATGCAGTGCTCAGCCCTAGCCAGTTTGGCTCAGTGGATAGAGCGTTGGGCTGCGAACTAAAGGGTCTTGGGTTCGATTCCAGTCAAGGGCACATGCCTGGGTTGCCGGCTCGATCCTCAGTAGGGGGCGTGCAGGAGGCAGCCAATCAGTAATTGGCTCATTATTGATGTTTCTATCTCTCTCTCCCCCTCTTCCATCCTTTCTGAAATCAATACAAATATATTAAAGAAATGTAGTGCTCAAAAAATTAAATTTTGAATAAACAAAATTTCTTGTTTTCTACTTCAAAAATCAAATCCCATTACTATATCATCCTATGTAATAAAAGCCCAATATGCTAAGTGTCTGACTGTTCATTTGACCATTTGGCCAGTCGCTATGACACACACTGACCACCAGGAGGCAGATGCTCCAACTGGTAGGAGTCCAGCCGATGGGGACTGGGCAAGATGGGCCAGACACACCCTGGAGCCCTCCTGTGGTTCCGCCCCGGCCCTGAGCATGCACCAGTGGGGTCCCTCAGCCTGGCCTGCACCCTCTCGCAATCTGGGACCCCTCAGGGGATGTTGGAGAGCCGGTTTCAGCCAGATCCTCACAGGCCAGGCCGAGGGACCCCACGGGTGTACGAATCTGTGCACTGGGCCTCTAGTTACTATATAATCCAGCAATATCTCACTTCTGGGTATATATCCAAAAGAATTAAAAGCAGGGACTCAAACGGATATTTGTACACCTATGTTCATAGCACATTATTCACAGTAGTCAAAAGGTAGAAGCAACTCAAGTGTCCGTCAACAGATGAATCAATAAACAAAATGTACACACACACACACACACACACACACACACACACACAAAGTGGAATGTTATCCAGTCCTACAAAAGAAGAAAATACTTCCACATGTATAACATGGATGAACCTTGAGGACATTATGCCAAATTAAATGAGTCAGTGACAAAAATAAAAATACTTTGATTCTACTTATATGAGTTATCTAGTATAGCCAAATTCATAAAAAGGAAATGTAGAATTTTGCTTATAAGGTGCAGGGAAGAAGGAGAAATGGGGAATTGTTTAATGGGTACTATATCAGGTTTGCAAGATGACGTATTTCAGAAGAGAAGGGGAGAACGGAAAGAGACTAAACAAAGAACTTATATGCATATATGCATAGTCCGTGGACAAACATTAGTGTGGGGAAGGCCTGGGGAGGAGGGAGGGAGTGGGGTAGAAGGGGTCAACGGTGCGG